TGAGGAGAAGGCTCACTTCTTTCTGCTGCTTTCCCAGTAGTTGCAGTTTCTCCTCCTTTATATGCTTGGCTTCCTCCACTGGGATGATTTGGGGGTTTTGTGTTTATTCTTGCCTGCCTTTCTTTCCTTCCACAGGACCCTTCAGCTGTTTCAGCGACTTCTGTAGATGCTCTTCAGACTATCTTTTTTTTCCTTTTTTGTCAGATATCTTATCCTACTTGTTTTAAACCTTCTTATCAGTGAATTTGAATTTTAAGCTGGCTTCTTTGTTTTTACAGTTTTTTGCAAGTTAACACCACTTTACAGTGAGATTTGACATACACAGATCTACAGAGTAATCACATTGTTATTAACATATGGAGATTAGCTTGTCAATGCTGATGCAGTTTCTACTAGGATATTCTAGAGACACAGCTTTAGATCTCTTCTGTCTTTCTAACTGCTTCTGCTCCATCCTCCTCATTGTTACAAGAGTGTTTCTCTTTGCTATTTTCTTTCTCAAAATGCTTGGCTATCTTATCCTGCTTATCACCACTTTCATCTTCCTACTTTTGCTCCTGAGTCCTGTTAGTGATATCTTGTATATTACTGCATAAAATTAAAGTTCCTTGTTAATTCTTGCCTGCCCTTTTTGTGGTCTTTTCTGCTCTCCTCTTACTACTCACGTTTATTACTGTTTTCTTCCCTTTACTGGTTTCATTACTTGTATGTTACACTTGTACCTAAAGTCTGCCCTCTTTGTTTGGAATGCCACGTGTCCTTCATCCGATACCACTTCAAATCTTGTGTATTCCCAAAATGCTTCTGAGGTTCTTTTTCCGGATAATCAGACTGTATGTAACTTTTCATTATTTCTTTTTTCTTGCTCTACTTTTCTCAGATTATATGGCATTCTGGGAAGGAAATGTGTCTAATTCTAAAATGGATTTAAATGTATGGCATTAGCAAAATAATATGCAGGAATAATAAAGCATCAGGCACAGTCTGTAGAATTAATATTTTCTTTAAGCCTTATAGTCTCATGATGCAACTGGATCAGAGGATAATGTATTTAACATGGTATTTTGCAGCATTCAGCCTGTTCCAGAGCATTGTGATGAATGCAGTGCTGGTAAAAAGTTCCTTGTCATTATTCAGTCATTTCTTTACCACTTACGAAGACTTTTTCCCATTTTGTTCTATGCCTACTGTTGAACTAGATCATATTGGTGGTGGTTATTAGCTTACGATGGTGGTAAAATGGCAGGGCAGTGCCCAGCTCAGTGAGAGGCTGGCCAAGCAACATACTGCCTGCAGAAGCAGGTACATGTGAATAGGTGGGTGGGATTCGTCTGCTCTTCATTTAGCCAGCTAAAATTAGGTGTCTGGTCTGTCTCTGCTGAGAGGGAGGGAGGGAGAGAGGGACTCCAAAGGATGAGTCACTCCCAGGTACTTTGCAGACCGAAGGATGAGTACCAACTGGTTTTTATTTATTTACTTATTTATTTTTAAGGGAGCAATGTGTACCACCTTCTCTCTGACTTTTTACTTTTGTGTGGTGCCATTAGGGCAACAGAACAGACCATTCCCAAGGTCTATTCCACAGCTAGATGGATAGCGTGGTCACCACCACTCCACGTGAGGCTCAGGGAAACAAAGCGATGGGGTTTGGTCTGCCTCTTCCAATGCCAGAATGTGGTACAAGATGTGGTGGAAGCTGGATAATGACTTTTAAAATCTTTATGAATTTGACTGGATGTTTATTTATTTTATTAAAAAAATAAAATACTAAGAAAAAAAAGTCTTCAAATAACCAGTAAAATCAAATGTGAAAAAGCTAAATTAAGTGATAAATTAAATAATTATTTTTCATTTGTATCTAAGTTATGCTGTCTTTACTGTGTAGACTTGTCCCACTGTCATTAAAAGGAAACCAACCTACCTTTTACATAAAAGTTTTAGTAAAAGAAAAGCAAATTCTGATGTGAGATAGTTAGAAAGTAAGTAGTGTAGTGTAAGAGTCCAATTAAATTGTGGCTGTTATAGGAAAAGTTACCTGAGGTGGTGATGTTCCTTTCCATCAGCAAAAATTTTGGAAAAAATTCAAATGCTACAGTATGTTTTTTAGGCAGCAGTAAGTTAGAATGAGTTGTAAGTTACTGTGAACTGTAAATTGCAGACTACAGCTATCAAAGGCAGTGCTTTTTCCTCATTTGTATCTTGTCTGTCTCAAAAGTATTCAGACTTATAAGAAAAAGGTGATGAAAGATCTGGGTGAGAGTGTCTTCACTTATATTTTTTAATCCCCATGTATAATGACTAAATCTAATGCTAAATTGTGTATGGACTGACACTGGAATAAATGTTATTTAAAATATTAATAATTTCCCTTGTCACCAGATCATGTTGGAGAAAGCAGGTTGAAATGTGAGAATTATCTAACTTAATTGTAAACTTTATCTGTTACAAGCCAGGTAATAAAATTAATAGTTAATGTATAACGTACTTAAGAAAATGACATCAAAACACATGGACCATCCTTAATGCTATTCTAAGTAGAAATGGAGCCTACTATAAAATATTAATAACAGAAATAAAGGAAAATTCTGAATTATATTTTTAAGGCTTATAAGGCTTAAAGAAAGTAACGTTCAAACCAAGAAATCATGTAACTAGAGTTTATGGTTGTGTATTTAGTCTGATATGGCTGGTTTTTTTTTTTTTTTTTTTTTTTAACCAATGTCTGGCTGCAGCTCGTCTTTCAAGCTTAACTCTTTATTGTATACAATCCTTGTCCATGTTTTGTAGGTGTGAACATTTTCGTTCCATACTGAGTAACGACGATGAAATTATAGAAATGAGTGAATTTTCTTATCCTGTTTACCGAGCCTTCCTGGAATATTTGTATACAGACAACATTAGGCTCCCTCCTGAAGATGCAATAGGTATTTGCTGTAAATGGAAATAACTCTAGGTTGCTGTTTGTGAAAAGTAGGATTTGTATGTCATAACAGGGTGAGGAAAGCAGGGCTTGTTAATTTTAGTTTTATTAGCACTTAAATCTTGAGTTGGCACGTGTCAGAAGAAGGGATGCAGTAGCAGGAAACATGCCCAAGGAGAATGAGTGGTGGGGATGCAGTAAGATCAAAGATGCAAAATGTTCAAAGAGAACTCATTGTTTCTCATAGTAAGGGCTTTTTTTCCTTAAAAAAGCACTAATGCCATACTAAAACTTTTATGTTGAAAAGAAGGGAGCTGTTCCCTGCATGAATTTAAGAGGGTGTAAGTCACTAATTGATGCCTTGAATGAGATACAATACAATGAACAAGAAGACAGCACGCTTGCATAGTAATAAAAGGGTCCCTTTTTGATATGTCTTTTGAGGACCTTTAAAAATGCACAAATCATCTAGGGGAAAAAAATAGAACAAGTAATTGATTAGGTCAGTCTAAAACAATAGGGCAATTGATTAATTTGAAAAGAAATATATATGTTTTGCACCTGGATAGTTAAAGCTGTATGAATTTTCACAGGACTGCTAGATTTGGCAACACTGTATAGAGAAAACAGATTGAAAAAGCTTTGCCAGCAAACAATCAAACAAGGCATTTGTGAAGAGAATGCCATTGCTCTTCTTTCCGCCGCTGTCAAATATGAAGCTCAGGTAAGGAGAACTTCTCTTCAGGCAAACAGTTGTTTTCTGAGAAATGAAACTGTTTATATTAAACATAACTGTATTTAACAGATGAGGCATGATTACCGCGATTTCCCTTTCCGGCTTCCCAGACATTTGGTTTCCCCTTTTTAAAGCTATTAAAAAACGCAGATACTAGTGTTTTCTTCCTGGCCTTTTGGCTTGCACCTGTGGGTCAGGATTCTTAATCTGCTTCCTGTCTTGTCATCTGGCATGGCATGGCATGCAAATTTCTCACTGCCATTTACTTCTTCACCTTTGGATTTTGCTTTGCCTGTTCACTTCCTGAGCTCTCCACCTGATCATTTTGTCTGCCAGTGTCTAGCACAGTCATTCTGGTACCGCCTTTAACAGGCAGAGGGAGAATTTACCTGTAAAGTCCCTCCCTATTTACACTTGTGCTTATATCAAAAATCCACTTTTGCCATGTTGTTTGCAATGAATCATGCTGACATGCAACGAATTACCTACTGTTCCTCCTCTCCCCCTATCCTGTCCTCTGGTCTGCCCTTGGCTCTGGAATGTTTCATTAGCACTCAACCTGTTATCAGCAGTACTGCAAGCGCTTTTTTTGTAAACAGGCAAATACTTTCAAAGGTGGTTGCCTTTTCTCAACTTCTTAGTGCTACGCTGATTGTGGAAGTAATGATGTGGTGGTGTTTATTATTCAAGAAGTCTGTATATGTATTTTAGACTTAGTAGCCATTGTTATAACTGAGCATCTTAGTTGAGAAGTCCTCATCTTTCTGTTCAAGATTTCTTCTGCTTTGTAAGAATGAAATTAATATAGCTAAACAGAGATTACCTATTAGAAGAGCTGAAATATGTAGCTGGTAACAATGTTTTCTGAAAATACTTGTATTGATAAACAGTTCCAGGTATAGGAAGCAACTAGAAAGAAGGGACTGAAACAAAAACCGAGCTAAAAATGTTGCAGTAGTCTGTGCTGTATGGAGGCAGCATAGTAGAGGAGATGAATTTGTGTAGGAGTGGCAAAGAGGAGGCCAGAAGTCAGTGAGTTTTTGTAAATGGAAAGAGGTGGTAACATCAGACTAGTAGATAAGAAGATTATCAGCTGCCGGTTACAAGGCAGTTGTAACCAAGGTATCGGTAAGGGAAGGCATGAACACCTGAAGCAAAGAGGAATTGTACTTTCAACTGGACAGGAGGGGTGGACCAAATTATTTGATTCTCCTAACAGCAGAAGTTTTCATTAAAAGTTTACTCTGGAGTTCCTCCTCTTACAAGCTTTTCAACAGCTTTGAACGTCTCCAAAGCAGAAATACCTTTAGTTGACATGTGTCAGGTGAAGTAGTTAAAGAGTAGTTAAAGATACATTTAGGTGTATTGTGAAGTAGTAAAACTAGCCTGGACAAAGTACTGATTTATAATGGCTGAAACACAATAAAAGGGATTGGCTAGATGACTAAATATATGTTATCCTCCTCTTCCTTCTATGATTCAGTGTTTTATTCTGTATACCTAGTATTCTTTCAAAACATGTAATATTTTAACGTCATCATCAAATGATGAACTAGTTCACCTGCCCTGGGTGCAGCATGTGCTCAACTCAGGAGTGCATTGTTGCCTTCCTCCCTACATCCGCAGCTCAGAAAGGGGTATAGTAGAACTGCTTCAGAGAAGCGCAGCAAAGGCTTCTTTATCAAAGACATGGGATAGTTTCTGTCTAAGGGATCGTGAAGTAAGCCAGGATCTTTTAGCATACTACATTAATATAGTAAAAATTGGTTTGAGAACCATGTGCAGTGTATCAGCACTTCAGCAGAAAACTGTCCAAAGAAGGATTATGAAAGAGGCCTGATATTTTGGAAGTTTGAAAAGATAGAATTAATTCAATTTTTTGTCATTAAATGCGAACACTGCAAGTGAAAGATTATAATGCTGTGTCATCTGCCATTAACACATCAAATTAACTGAAGACTGACTTGGCTACTCTGTGCATCTGTTAGGATTAAAAATGCTTGAAAATATTTTGTCCTATCCTCTAAAAATACAAAGAGTTGCTGCTACAAATTATTTTAAAGCATATTTCTAATATACACTGTAGCAAAGTTTAGATTTAATTCTGTTATATAGAAGATGATTAAAGCCAGTATTTCTTCAAGCTGCAAAATCAGCGATCAGAATTCTGTGATATCTATGGTCCTCTTCATAGATCAGTACCAGAAAAGGCAGGTGCTGTTTGTTTTATTTAATGTAAAGATTTGCATATTGACTGTAAAGGAACCCGGGTTCTGGCAGTAGCATTTCAGGGGTCTGCTGAAACTTAAGCTCAGTGCCTTTAATCTACATTTTTCTTCTACATTTTTTTATTTCTTCTAAATTTTTCATTTCTTCTTCTATCCTCATTCTTTTTCTTGCTTTTCCAGCACTTCTTGATGAGAGATACAATTTACTTCTGTGCATTGTTGCTATCTTATTTCTTTCTAAAGGATCTTTTATGCTGCTTGGCCTCTGTTTAAAGCTTTAGGTACACCTTGACAGGGGCAATAGACTTGAAAAGTTCAATCTAAGGAAAAGGTTTCAAAGGGAAATGCACAGGTATTCTGCTAAATTTCTTTCTACTGTTAAGCCCTGGCTGCAATGTTTGTGTAGTTAGCATAGAATAAAACTGGCATGGACTAAGAGACCTCTTTTTTGCTGTAACCCTTGAAGACTTTATAGATAATGGATCATACTGCCAGTTTAGACTTGCCTTGGGCTGGCCTCAGCTCTGCTTGCTGCAGAACATCATTAATTTTCCTTCAACAGCAAGTTGTTGCATAGGAACCAGCTAAAGGGGATTGACCCAGTGCATGGAGAGATGGATTGCCACTGTTGTGAGGAGTTTGAGTGGGCAAAATCTGCTGTGTGAAATCATGGCTGTATGGCCTAATGGCTTGTACCTATCCTGTGCTGAACATCTGAATGTCCTGTTTCAGCAAGGCCAGGAAAAGACAGAACCATTTTTGCTATCTAGGAATCCCAGTTCCTAGACAGGGACACGCAATTCCTAGGTTCACCATGAAACACACATGTATCCTAACATCCAGTTTGTGTTCAGTGAGCATCATCGAACGTTACATCATAATTTGCTTTTATTTTCAGTAAGACTAGGATATCTGCTGTTTTTCACAGGAGCACTACGGAACTCAGTGCAGGGAGGAAAAGAAAGGAGTTACTAATGGTCTAGTAGTTGTATGTGGAGAAAGTTGATAGTTTCATTTATTAATAACTTTTCTAATGAGCTCAATAAATGTGACGGAGTTCTAGAGTTGATTTAGGTGGCTACTCCTGTTTTCTCAGAGTGGGGTTATTGAACAGTTTGTATGAACAAATTTCATCCTATCATTTGTGATCTAATCAAACTGATCAGAAAAGGGATTGGTAATGTGAACAATCTTGTATATTCTCTGCTAATTAAATGACAGATTTGAAACAGAAAAATAATAATAAAAATTTTGCTATCAGTCATTCATGTGATAAATTACCTTAATTTGTTCCTAGGACTTGGAAGAATTTTGCTTCAGATTTTGCATAAACCATTTAACTGTTGTTACACAAACTCAAGGCTTTGCAGAAATGGACCACGACCTCCTGAAAAACTTCATTAGCAAAGCAAGCAGAGTGGGAGCATTCCGAAATTGAGGTTTGACTACCACCAAGCTGAAGAGCACGTCCTCTTCCCCCCTGGAAATACTTCTCCTTTGGAGAACTTGTCCATGATCAGAATGTGCAAAGGTTTGGAAAGAAAGACTTGGTGTCCATCAGCTTAGGAAATGCGTAGAAGTCTGCTAACATACAGTTTTGTAAAGATGGCTACAGTGTAGATGCATGGTGAGAGTTCATTGCCAACAGTCGGAATTTAAGGACAAAATCTAATGCAGTAACTACCCTTTCCCACTTAAAGTCAAGCAAACTAAGCTATCATTATCTTGTCTGTCTCGTCTCTTTTCCTTTCTTTTCTTTTCCTTTCTTTTCCTTTCTTTTCCTTTCTTTTTTTTTTTTTTTTTAAACAACCTGCATTTCGATTTTATGGAACAGTGACCTGTTTGCTGCTAAAACTTTCACAGTATACTTTTATCACCAAACTAAGTTAATATGCCATAGTGGGCTTCTAATTGCCTGGTTTATCATCTGGTGAAGATACAAACTTGTTTTTCTGAACATACGATAAAGTAATATAAATTCTTTAGGATGAGAGGTTTTCTGATTGGTAGGAGGATGTGTCTCACGGTGTTTATTTGGAGTGTAAAGGTGTAAGCCATGAAGAGCTTCAGACGGATATTACAGTTTTGAGTTCCTGGCACTTGTGTCCATTGTTCCAGACAGAATGAAAAGAATCTTCCTTTCCATTACACCAAGCACGTTCCCTGGCAGCCCAATGGGCCAGGAAGCATTCACAGTATTTGTCTGGATGTGAATTATTGTGCTGTGTGTTTTGGTACTGAGAAAACCATCTGTTTGTTACCAAGAAACCCAAACAAAATCTCAAGGAAAGGGAAGTTCCGCTTGAGGTTTGTTTATTCCTGTCTTACTAGCTATCCCCAGGTAGATCATCTTAAGAAAAATGGAGAACAAGGTAGTTTTGAAGTGATAAAATGGGTCACAGTTAAATCATAAGAGTGAAACTCACATTATTTTCCACGTGGCAATAAGGACACTTTGTCCAAATACATTGTTCAGGCCCTCCTTTGGTCAGTGCTGCGAGGTGACCATAGCACTTACCTTACATGCCTGTTTTAGGTGAGAGGAGTTGCCCTCTGGACATGCCTCTCATCACTGATCATCGAGGTGACGGGATGGCTAAGGTAGAGTAGATGCTTAATTTCTAACAGGCTAAAGTGAGTTAAGATGAAACCCCACTAAGTGTTGCACGGAGGGAGGTTTGCCCCATTACAGAAGATGCTGAATTCATGAAGCATTTACTTGAATTTTCTGATAAGCAGCTGTGAATTAACCCTGAGAAATTATTTCTCTTAAAATTTGGACTGGGTGAAATGGCTTTAAGTGCCTTTTGTAGTATTTTACAAATGGAGAAGGGAAGAAGCTGGATGACCAGGCTCAGTACACTAATTAGTCATGCGACCTTCCTTCAAATCCTTGCTGTGCCACAGAATCCTTCGATGACACTTTCTAACCCTCAGATGTGGTTTCTAAGAACCTAATTCCCTTAAATGATCACAGCCTCATTTCCTCATTTCCAAAGTAGAAATAACTGTTCTTTATTATATTGGAGGATCATTTCTCAAACAGTCCTGTTTTTCGAGGAGGAGGAAATGACAAGCACATCCTCAAAGATGAGTAGTAGCGAGTAGCACCTCTCTTCACATCAGTCCCTGCTGTTGTGAGTGGAAGGGTGAGGCATGCAGACAGCACTATTTGTTTAGGAAGAGGGCCGTAAGCAAATTATTTTGGGAAGGGCTGTGGTAAAAAATTACTTGTGTTTGAGACATTTGCCTCAGACTCTCATTGAAATATATTGGATCGTCTACTGCTAACAAGCATGTTCTGCCACCCACTCAGCGATTAGTACAACTTCCTCTGCTGTGTCAGTATTTTGTATTCAAACAGAGCTGGTCAAAAACTTTCCAGTATATAAAGCAGTTTCATCAAAACCACAACTTCCCTGGGGGACAAGATCAATTTTGATAAGGTTATGTTGAAAAGCACTTGACTCAGGCACACAGATAGAGGTTAATACAGACAGTAAAACAGCATCGCGGTAGGGCACAGCTTTACTGCAAACCTTATATGCTATAGCCCAGCACTAATCACACCATTATGTAGAGGCAACTCTACATAAGCGAAGGCTGGGTAATTCCAGATGTTTGGTTAAGCCAGAGGTGGCTGGAGTGAAGTCTGCCCCTCTCTGTCCTGGGCTCAGGAGCTGCCAGATTCACCTGCCACCATTTTCTTAGCCAAAGCAGCACACGGAAAGGGGGTGTACGGCCACAGCCCAGCCTTTGGGTGGTGGCTTGTACTGGATCCTGCCCCACATGCGCGGCCTTGCACCGGCACGCAGCCAGCCTCACTAGGAAAGGGAAGCAGCCACTTGTCGTGGCCTTTCGGTCACTCTGGCCTTCCCAAGAAGGGTACTGTAAAAGGTCTCTCTGAACATTCCTGTTGTTTTACTTAAAGAACCAAACCAAAACTGTAAATGTGAAATGATTGGTTTTTAACGCAACATCTGATCAAAAACATTCTCTGCTCAGTGAAGAGCCTGGTTCCCTGGAGACACCACTCCATGGAGTGAGAGCACCGGAGCAAGATGCCACTCTCCTAAGCTGGCTCAAGTTCATAGCACAGTAGTTCAACAACTCCTGTAGTCAAAATGGCATGCTTTCTTAGCAAGGCATTTTTGGCTTAATATAACCAATAGTGCCATTTTTTTTTTTTCCCCAATTTATTTCCTTCCTGCTCATAATTTCCAACCTACTGCACACATTAAAGTAGTTGCAATTCAGAGTAACTGACAAAGCCTGTAATTTTGAGAAAAAGCATCTCTGGACTGAATGAGGGTGATTCCAAAGATCCGATGTGTCAGTGTTGGCTGTTATTCATGCAAGATGTATCATCTGACCTGGCTGTGATAGCATTACGTTCATAGAGACTTCTATTTATTTAATTTTTTTAACTTTCATTTGCATGCACTTTCCCTGGCACTTAAACGTCAAATGTTTAAAAAAACATACTGGCTTAGGTGGTTAAATGTTGATGCATGTATATAAATGTGTGCTTGAAACCCAATCATAGGACATTTTAGAAGAGATTAGCGATGCATTTTACCATTGCGAGATGGTCTGCAGCAAGTTACGTTTGTGGATCTTGCAGGTTGAATACTTTACTAAGTATTTAAGTATGTAAGTATTGTTCTGTTTAGGACACCACAGACAAAAAGGTATTTGCAAAAAAAGTGAAAAGCATATGGTCAAGCATAAACCGTATCTGGGGTTTAAATGAAGAGGGATGTTCTGCTTTGCAGAAAGGGAAGCAGGTGGATAACTTGCTGAGTCATTTAAACATTCTCTTAAGTCACTGATGCTAAGAGCCAGCATTGCATTGTCGTCCAGTACCCACCTCTAGAGTTTTATTCCAGTGCCTGGTAACTGCGTAAACTGCTGGTTTTATATGATCTGAACAATTTCCATGGGCTTTCCTTGTAAAGCAAAACATTTAATTACCCCATAGAGACAGAACTCATTGGCTACCACCTAACGATGTAGAAAGTTTACAGCCTGAACATAAAATTATGTTTTGATTTCTTGTTTCTTTATAAACTTGCCTGGTTTAATAGGCCATTAATAAAAATGCTGTAACATTTAAAAAGTATGAGTGAGATTTTTTCCTTTCTTTTCAGTAAAGGTGAAGAAAGTCTGACACTTGCATGTAGTTAGTAGTGTGGGAAAAGAAATAAAACAGATATTTCAGAGGGATATTTTAAAGACTATTTGTGTTCTTCAGGAAATAACCACACCACCAGATAAAGTTATTTGTAAGCAGAATGAAAGCTGAGTCTGCAAAAAAGAGCTGTAGCATTTGGATAAGTGTATTTCCACTTTTCAAAGAAATTAATGCCCTAGTGACTTTAGGATTAATAAAACTGTCCTTAAAACACCAAGAATTGTTTCTGAAGTAAATGTACATCACGCTCAGCTTATCTGTTACATTTTAAAATATTTCAGCTTGTACTTTGCACCAGTATCACACACCTATAATCCTCTCCAGCTGTTTCACATTTGATAGAGGTATCTTCCTGCAGCCGCTCCTGTTCCTGAAAACAGGCAGTTTACACATTTTGTGACCTGTAAGAGCAAACAGTGTTTGGATAACAGGGGACAGCAGCAAGAAGTGTAAAACTGCAAATAAAGAGCCTGAGAGTCAGCTCCAGCATCCATCTCCACATGGCTACACAGCCAAGCCAATAGATTAAATTCCCCTTAGCATCAATGGAGAGAAACAGCCCTCTCTGAGATGTTTCACATGACCTCATTTTACACGTACAGCTTAGGCAGAGACAAGTTTTCTCCCCAAATGTACGTTGCTCCGCTGTGATTAGAAGAGTGTGATCAGTGCTGCAATCCTTACCATTAGGCACCTGAAGTGCCCGTACTGTTTTCTGTCCAGCTCTTCTGCTCTGAATTCTAATTTTCTTTTTTCCTGAAACAGTTTCAATATCCTAGCCCATTTTGCATACAAGGTCTTGCTATAAGAAAGGTAATAGTAAGATTTCCAAATATAATAAAAAGCTGTTAGTTTCAATACACATTTATTTGTGTATGTATCTGCTTAAAGCCTCTGAAAATGTGGTTTCAGAGGGGGCATGGACAGGCAAGTCAGCCAGTGCCCTTTGTGCTGTAAGCACTGGCATGAATGCCGATGCTATAAATAGCACCGCACAGTTCAGCAGAGTTGTGAGTCACAAGGCACCTATGGACTCTAATAAAGCGATGACAGGGAGCCTGCGAGGCTGACGTGCCCACAGCCAGGTGGCCTGGAAAGCCATGGCGGCTTACACTGGAGTTTTGACATCCCGGGCTGTTCTCAGCAGCTCCGAAAGCAAAAGAATCGATTATGAAAAGCAGGGTGGTGAAATGATGGGGACGCTTCTAAATGTGGACACCAACTTCTCCGCCGAAGGACTGCCTCAGGCACCTCTGCAAGGGCCGTGACAGGGACCCAGACCACGACCCGGGCCTGTGTCTGCCAGAAGCGTTACCAATGGTGACAAAAAAAGCTGGAACAAAAGCTCTGGCGAGAACAACACTTCCAGAACATCCTATGGAAACTTATGAAGGTAGCTCCGAGCCCAACAGGGCAACTATTTGGACCTTCGCACCCGTAGGGAATCGCTGGAGATGGAGTGACCTCCACTTGTACCAGCTGCAGAATCGTGGTGGAAGCGTGATACAGCAGGACATCATTACTATGTGAAGTCGCCTTCTCATCTAATAAAAGAAAATTAGGAACTATAAATCTTTTAAAAGCTATTTTATTTATCTTGAAAGTGACTAGTTGTATAAAATATTATCATACATTTGATGTAAAGCCTTCAGTCTGTTTGAACAAAAAACACATCGTCACAGTAAAGAAACAATAAATCTGCTTAGATACTGGACTCCGTAATGTTACCACTCTAGCCGTAGGATCATGGAAGAACTTCAACTGCTGTAAGAGAGCTTACAGTCAGCGTACCCCAACGTTAACATACATTCTGTCTGTAAAACTGCAAAAAGTGAGAAAATAAATGTAAGGTACTCTAATGCTTCTGTACATTTTTCAGGAAGAAAGTTGAAGCCATATTGAGACTAAAAAAATAACTCAATTTTATTTTAAAATTCATCAACCAATCAGTGTGCTGTTTGTAGACTTTTTAGTAGCTCTAGGATTAGTTTCCGTTCAACACAAGAACTGATATTTAAAATGTACTAGTGTAAGTATTCTAGGTTCAGCTAAACAATTTCTAAATAAGCTAGCCGGAGAAGATGTTGGTTTAAAATGTTTGTGTAATGAATAGCACGCTTTTCTACTATAACTGTTTTAATTTAAGTAGCTGCAAAAGCTAAATTTCATAAAAATGGGTAATTTTAAAGCACGACTTCATTTATTTACTTATATTTCAATCCACTGGATGTAAAACGTACCTTCCTTAACTGGCTATTTTGCAAACACTTTATCATTGCAAGAAATTTCCAGTATCTGGATCAGTGACTTACAAACATGCAAGCTGAAAAAAGTTTTGGGGTCTGGGGAGCTTTTTTGCTAGCTGTAGCAGTTCACAGGTTGCCTATTAAACTCTGCCTTTTCAGTAAAATAAGGCAGACTGGTTTTCCCAACATGGGCTCATCAAGTTTGGCTTTTGTGCAGATGCTGCAGTAAGCCAACGGGGGATGCCCTGTGCTTTTAGAGGCCAGGCTACTCTTAGCTGGAACCCAACTGGAGACGCTCAGCTTTCAGCTATAGGAAACAGGTTTGGTGCCTGTTTCTCGAGCTATTTGGCTTGGCTACAGTTAGGTGAAAATTTGAAGAAATCAAGAAAATTCTACATCATCAGAATTTTGAAATCTTAGGTGTACCAGCTGGGATTTAGGTTTGGGGTTCGTTCTTTTTTAATAATTGAGATTTTCCAAGATAAGAAAGTGCACATCAAGTACTCTGCATATGGGAAGAAGCTTCAGCTTCCAGGACGATTCTCTGTGGGATTCTGGGAGGAATCTCTGTGGGATTCATATTCCATGAAATTCAAACTGATGGACAGTGTAACTGCCCTCTGAAATTACACTGGGGAGAGCGCTGGGGAAGCAAAACTACAAACGCTAAGGTTTGGATTCAGTAGTATGGCTACATAATGAGTTCACTTTGACTTCAGGTTGTACTTCTAATGCGAGGCCCTGACTCTGCAAGGTCTGTGACTGCTGTGCAGTTGACGCAAATGGGAATTTGATTATATACAGAGACAGAAATCTTTGCAGTATCTGGCCCCTCTTTTTCAAAATTCACAAGTAATGAAAAATCTAAAAATGAAATCTAAGAAACAAAATTAGTGCATTTCAAATCATCCTAACTAACATTTTGTCTTCAGACAGAAAAATTCAATCCAAGTAGACTGCATTGGCTTAAATCAGTAATGTTGCAATAGGAAACTGAGACACCTTCCAAGTCTGTTTTTAAAATCCTCAAAAAAATATATAAATTAAATTCAGTGGCTTACATTGTATATATGCTACATCATAAGGCAAAGTATCATGAATAACATTTAAAAATTTAAAAAGTCCAAACGCTTTCAACTAGCAGTTCGGAATAAAAAGCAACTAAAAAAGCAACTCAATGAAGGCTGTAAAACAAAAACAAGCTAAGAGGGCCTGCAGTGCAGCCCCTGGTCCTGAGAAGAATCTCACTTTTCTTCACTGGCTGAGGTATCATTTCCATCATTCAGTTTCTGCTTTTGCATTCTTGTTCGAGTAGATGCTAAAAAAAAAAAAAAAAAAAAAAAAAGAAAAAAAAGAGAAATACTTTCTTCAGAATTACTTTGGATATTATTATTTATTGTAAAAATTGGTAATACACAAGGTATCGAACTACAGCATTCTAAATAAAACAAATCTCACTTTTTAGAAGAAAACACATAATTCTGACTTGCTTCAGCAATCCCTGCTCAATCTCACACGTCTTAAATTCATTCCACCCATTCACTGAAGTTCTCATTGCTTCTTTACCCTCCCTCTGCTTTCACCCTTAAGGCGGGTGATGGATTGCATCACGTAGGGATCTCGTCTGTCGCCAGGCAGACGCTACGGGCTGAGCAGTCCCCGCATCCCACAGCCAGCCTGCAGAGGCAATGGCTTTTCCCCCGTGACACGCTAACACAACTGGACATGAGATAGAACATCCCTTCTTAACCTCTGCCACAAGTAAACACGGGAACATTTCCCCTACCCTAAAATGAACGACAGGTGCCTAGATCCGTACTCATACCTATCTTGAAGAGCAAACACTTGCTAGGTAAGAATTTTTAAATGGTCAAATCCGCTCAGCTGCAGAGCTCAGATTCCATGAGAAAGTGAGAATGCCTGGTCAGACCAAGTGTGTTCCTTCTTGGAAGCAGAAAATACAACTCAGATGTGAGGATGGGGCCATTTTGCTTTTCATGAGCTAGATTTGAGTTTCATTTGAAAAACAGAAAAGTGATCCCATAAAATCTGAAAGAAATGCTGATCCGCAGTAGAAGAAAAAGCAGTCTCAGGCAGTTTAGTATAAAAGACAGCAAAGCAAGGTACAAAATTACGTACAATTTTCCTGTGTATATAATTTTGCTTTACTGTACTTTAATCGCCTAAAAAGGTGTTCTGGTCAACTAAATGCTGCTGCGATTACTACTGATTTCTACCTGCAAGCTCTCAGCTAAAGGTCTGTCACTGGAACAAATGGGAAAGCCTTAGCAAGCATTTAATTCCACTTCAAGAATTCTAGTGTTTAGGAAGAATGTGTCATGCTCATTTTCTTATTCACACATAATATAGCATCTTCTATGCTGCTGTGTCACTTAATATCCTCAAAAAAGCTTTTGCGGATTTCCATTTTATAATCTGCATTTTCAAGATTAAATGGAGCAAGTACAAAAATTTAAGCTAGTTTCCCAAATGACATCAACGTTGAGCAATGTTTTTATCTGAATGGGCATAAACTGTTTTATCCAAGGCACTCACTGCTGTGCAAATAATGAAAAAACAATACTCACTCATTTCTGCAAGCTTTTGTTGGAACTTGGACTCCTGGGGTAGGTGTTTGCTGCAGACAGAAAGTGTATGATTAAGCAGAAGTTAAAAAAACCCAACCTTTTTATCCTTGTAACCTAACTTTAAACCAAGGTTAGTTCATTTCAGTGCTATTGCCTTCTCTTACAAAGATGCAAATGCTTTTTTCCTCCACACTAAACTCCAGAGTTGCTTGATTTCTCATATGTCTAAAAAATTGGGGGTTTGTTTTTTAAAAGACTGACTAAAGACAACAGCATGGTTTGGCACTCAGCAGTAACACTGGGATGCTGGTTGTGTAGGCACCAAATAAATCCTTGCTTCTGACGTCAAAGCATCTAATTGAGAAGTACTATGCTACCATCTCTCATTTAACATATTTACTAAAGTTTACACATTAACAGAAGTTAGGATGTCAGGAAGAAGTTAGGATGGAAGGGCCTGAGAAACAAAAATAGGTAAGTTTACTGAAAAGCTGAGCACAATCTCTTACCTTCCATCTGCTTCGTCTTGCCCTTCTATGTCAAAGCGCAGCCTCTTCAGTGGCTTAGGAGCAGCACTTACTTCTGCGCTGCGTTTTAGCTGGCAGTCACTGTTGCACACCATCTGGTTTATTTTTTGAAACTTCTCAGAAGTCTGAAATTACAAAAAAAATAAGGAAAGAATTGCCAATAAATCCTGAAACTACTCAAACTTTCCAGATTATCCGCTAAAGAAAAATTAGGAGTTCTAAAACTCTGCAGTTTAAGAACTCTATCTTCTTTCAAAGCAACTAAATAAAATACAAAACATTTTAAAAGTAAGTCTGGATGTTTGAAAGGAATTAGCTGGACACCCCTGTAATCTCTGTGCTTACAGATTCCATAAAACACTACATTAAATTAGAGACACTCACTGGCCAGTTCTTCATGTGTCAGCAGGCTATCCCATTCCTCCAAAAGTTACATGCATTCAAGACCAGACATTAAAAATGTTAAAAACTCACCCCAAATGATTCACCAATTGACACCAAAATTCTGCCAAATGAAGAAGAGAAGTGTTTAAGATTAAGCTACATTCAACAATGATAGACACATCCACTAATTTGGCACAGCTTAGCATAAGACATTAACCGAGTCTCTTCCCCTCTCTCTGCATTAACGGTGCAAACCCAGACTGCATTTCACAAAAATGTTAAAAACTCACCCCAAATGATTCACCAATTGACACCAAAATTCTGCCAAATGAAGAAGAGAAGTGTTTAAGATTAAGCTACATTCAACAATGATAGACACATCCACTAATTTGGCACAGCTTAGCATAAGACATTAACCGAGTCTCTTCCCCTCTCTCTGCATTAACGGTGCAAACCCAGACTGCATTTCACTGTGTTGAGACCATTCACGTTTCCATTCGGGCCAGTGAACGCTGAATCGCCAAATGAACCGTACCGTACAGACAGAAAAGAAACTGGCTTGAAAGAATCAGACGCCCCCACAATCTGTCCCTAACACACTTCAGTGCTGGGTACCCAGATAATCATCCTTTCATCATTACCTTTAGGTGTTTGCTAATCAAAACCATGCAGGACTTCAACCTAAAATATACAATAATATCTTAGCTTTTGTACACAGTGGGCCAGGTGCAACAGGACTCACTTGATCCTAGATTGAAAAACCCACTGGAGACTTGCACATTTGCTGTCATCCTCGCCTGCTAAGAACTAGTGACCAACAGTTTGAAATGTTCTGCTCAGTCAACTAAATACTCTGAACCATTTTGTTCCAAAAAAGTATTTTCTCTTTAAACAAGTGTACAAAACATCTATGTTTTTCAGAAGCATGATCCAGAGTCCAAGCCAACAACATTTAAGCAACTAGGTCAGAAAACCCCTCTTGGATGTGTCTATTTAAAACAAACAAACAAAAAAAACCAAACCAAAACCAAACTCCTTGAGCACACTGACTCAACTGAAAGAGCTCAAAGATGAATAAAGATTCCAAATACAGGACACAATTTTTTAACCAGAAAAGACAGAATAACCACAGACTATTAACAAACTAGACTGAGCAGTTTTCTAATTTGCTTCCACTAAAATCCCCCAAATACCTTTAATTTAGTCAAAGAAATGCTTGTCAACAACCCACCTGGACCTTGGAGTCATCTTTGTGGGTGACTGAAACCCATCAGCGAATCTGTATGGGCTCTTCAAGGGTGAGATGTAGATGTTATTGCCAGCAGGGACACGCCGAGGAGAGTTGGAAAACTGGTAAGGGCTGCGAGGAATGTGTGGGATAGGTGACAGAGTGGGAGGCTATAAAAATAATAAAATAATCATAAGGTTTTGTTGTCTATCCCTATTCTATTAAATAATTAATACTGAACACAAAACTAGCAGCTTACCCTGTTGGAGGCATACTGCAAAATGTTCGTTTTCAGCTTCTGCATAAACACTAAGTTGTAGAAGACTATAATGGAGTCATACTGTTCTTCCCTGATAAGAACACGTTTGAAAGTCTACAGAATCAAACACAGTTAAAAAAAAAAAGACAATTTTACATTTGACAAACTCAAAGCCATTCAAAAAAATCTGTTACATACAAGCTAAGATGGCATGTGCATTGTATGCAAGCCATTTTAACTACTATTAAGAACTGTTTTAAATTGTTTCTTTTTTCCAAACATGTATGAACATCAGTAGAGGCACCTACTTAACTAACTGGCACAGCCCCTTAGTGCAAATGCAGTTCATCAGTACTTCGATAACATTTTCCAAATTTAAGCTCCATTTACTTTCACACATACAATTGTCAAAAAAAGACTTCGCTACTGTGCACACCTTGCAAGGCTAAAAAAATCATTACCAACCTGACATTGATAAATAGTTCTTTAGGCTTGGAGACAAAAGTTTAGCCAAGATGCACAAATACACTATGAGAAATTCTGCTACTAAAAGGATGCCTACAGTTCAATTAACTGTTTGATGATTGTTTTCTATTGATTTAATTATCATTTTGTGCAAAGATTTAAGTACAGTAAGACCCTTACAAAGGAAGGAAGGAACTTCTTAGTGTCAGAATTAAGCCTGCAACTTTAATATATACGTACCTGTTTGATATATAACCATACATACCTGCTTGATATCTTACTTCTATTGAAAGCTTCTACAGAAAGTTATCTGCTTATCACCCCTTAACGCTAAGTTAGGTAACTCTTAAAAGAACTTGGGTTGTCTTTGAAAATCCTATTAGCATCTTTCATCCAGTCTCCAAATAGCATCATAACCCATTATTTAGTATCTTTAAGTAAAAAAGTGGAATGAAGTTTGCTTTCTGAGGAGAGTTACCAAACTATTTGTGCGAGATGTTTAAAGAGACATTTAGTATTCGAGCCAGTTTTCTCCTCCACAAAATGGAGATGCAGTGAAGCAGAAGTTTTCTTTTGTATGTTCAAGTATAGTTTGGGGTCTTTGCTTTAGACAAACAGAGAGAAACAATTAGTTTGTAACACTTTTATGGAGGGATAACATTAAAGAATTTCCATACCTCTTGATTTGTGTTGGGAAGTTCCTTATACGCCGAAACTATTATTTTGAATCTAAGATCTACATTCTTTACTTTGCATATGCCATACATAGAACACATCATGATCTACGAAAGAAACAAGACAAGACAACTGAAAATGCAGAAAATTAATTCAGATTCTTCATTTCAAGTTAAGAAATCAATTGGTGAGTTTTCTATTACTGATCACGCTCTGTGAACTAACATGCAACTCAACTTCATAAGAACTTCCAGAATAAAAGTCAACTACTGTTCCCTCCAATTCTGTATGTCAATCAACTAACTGGAGCTGATAGTATCTTCTCAAACTCATTTCACATGCTGCAATCTTAGGGTAGAGTAAAAAAACACGTGTCAGCCACACATGTTGTCTTCCTAAAGAAAAAAATCAGTATTTTCTTATGCAAATTATTAGAAAATTTGGTCTGTCTTCATTATTTTGAAAATAGCTGTAAATGGTATTTGAAGATCCCATAGTAAGTAACTGCCAGTACTTAAAAACACTGAGATGACAGACTTCACTCTAAATTAATTTCTCCTTTGAGTGATCAATAAACAAAAACTCAGATTACAATTTCTAATGGCTAAAGAACATATAAGGAACATTTTGTTCAGGAGAGCCTTTTTAAACTTTTTAAAACTTTTTGTTAATGTTACCTGGTCCAAGTGCCTGTCTCTCATAAGTTCATACTCATTTTGCAGTGTGTGCTGGAAGAGTGTCCAGATCAAGGGTTCCAGGTCAGGATGTTCAGAGAGAAGCCGAAAGAACAGGGTATGTAGTCGGAGATAGGCCAGTAGATACACTTGAGAAAGACAGAAGAAAAATAAACTGAAATGGTAATAATAGGGGTATACAAAATAAAAGGAGCATGATGGAGGATGGACAGCAATTGAACGTCCACCGTATCCCACTACAAGAACTACGAGCCATCAAACGAAGGTAGTAAAAGCCAGGTTCAAAATAAATGGAAAAAATTCTTCATACAACAGGTAGTGAACACATGGAAGTCCACACCAAACAATGCTGCACATGTATGTCTATGTTGATTCAGAAAGAGTCTCAAAAAGCATTTGGAACACAAATCTGCTGAGAGTTACTAAGCAGACACATTGCAAAAGGCTCAAAGGCTCAGGAAAATTCCTGAGCTGGAGAAAGTCAAAGCTTGGGAAAGCATTCAGGGGAAGCACTCAAATATGCTTGCCCAGTTCTTAAGCTTCCCGTGACATCTATTTATTATCACTGCTGGAAAAAGGATACTATGATAGAAGAACCCTCCCTCTGAGCCCATATGGCCATTCTTACAATCAGGAGATAAGTTTTCAGTTTGAATTTGCAGTGTGTAGAGCGCATGCATTAACCTGCTGGCATCATTTTACTATTTCTTCCAATGGCAGCTGAGGGTTTGCAAGGTGTTTACTACAGATTCTGTTATAATCTTTTAAGAAATGTTGAGCTCCAAAACCCAAAAAGGATAAATAACAAGACATAACTTTGCAATTTCAGCAAGTACAGAAGCAACAAACCTTTTTTGTAGAACAGAGAGAGGGAGGTAGATTTCTGTGGTTTCGGTGTTTGGGGGGTCACAGCTGGCTGAGCATCTGGAGTGGAAGTAGCACTTAGAGGAGGTCCAGCTGCTTTCTTCTTAGGAGATCTCACAGGAGAAAGATAGCTGAAGATTCAACATATATTAAGCACTTCAACATCACAGGATAAAGGAACAATTTTATATGAATAATACTTGGGGGAACTCTTCCCTCTTCCCCCATTAGAAGAAATTAATTGCTACTGTAACCTGTATTCCCATAGCAGGAATTAAAAGTTCAAGTTTTTGATTAAACACCTGATAAAGGGACTTATTTATTCTTAGACAAGTAAGAAAACAGTTTGCAATTACAAGTTTGATAGGGCTTGGAAAAAAGTATTTCAGAATTTGATTTAGCTAAATTTACATGTATAATAAGCAGCAGCAAATACAACAGTTCAACATAACCGAAGTACCAAGTCTAACAAGTAGGAAAACAGAATACAAATGGATTTAAATATTAAGGGCAATATTAACTTCACATTTTACTAGGCCTCAAGCACGCATGGTCACCTACAGGTCTGCTGCAGTATGATTATGTTGGAGAGGCAGATTGAGAGTGGAAGTGGGCTCCGGCTGATCAGTTTGGCCTTCTCGTTCTTTTGACTGCTTGATAAGATCGAACAGAGGTGACCCCTAGAAAAATGACAGTAACAGCACATTATACTGAGAATAGACAACCACACTGGATGGATTTTGTTCCTCCTTCTCTAAAAACAACCCCCAAAATGTGATCCTAAACAGAAGATTAATGCTTTGAAATACTTCAGAACACTCATCTTTTGCTAGATAAATTTTAACTATTTAACTGACAAATTTTAACTATTAAATACACTGAACACTTTTTCTGTTTCAATAGCAGTCCATTAGATACAGGCTAACTGCAGAGTCAAGACATAATTGTATTCTAGAGTCTCCTTATTACTTCCTATTAAACAGCCATTCCTGAAAAGAGCAGCAAACAATACAAGAGAATACATAATAGGTCACATTTCCAGACAGAAAACCCACATTGGTGACTAAAAGTTACTGCTGTATCTAGTATCAATCCATTTCTGCTACAACACCTACCCAATATTTTACACATGTTAATATACAAAACACAGTCATAACTCATCTAACTGCACTGGGGACAGTTCAGATCTCTACAGTATCATATTCCAGAGCTACCTCTGGAAAGAGTTACAGTCACTTACATGAAATCTCTGCCCTCATGCCCAAAACCAAAAACCATTTTGATTTTAGGTCAATTATCAGTACTTCAGGCAAGGCAGCTGGAATATATCTGAACCTACTAAGAGCTTGAGGTAGGCAGCGATGCAGCAGGATGTAAGTAGAATGGAGAAGGTTCTGACTGAAGCAATGTTAGTACTACTGCTGACACTAGTAATAAACAGCAGCCTTGCAGAAACAAAATCTCAGGCTTTTGCTGCTTGTGCGTCATGTGCAGAGCAGAATTATGCTGAAACAGCAAGACTGCATGGGAAAATATTTTGGTACCGTATTTTAATTAATTTTGAAAACACAGGGTTGCTGGCTTCTGTTTTTTTATTTTCTTTAAACAGGAGACTCATCCTTGAGCACAATGTTGCCTTCCAACAGTACAGCATCAGAACCCCAGAAGCAACAGAAGAACATCTGATTAGCAAATATCTGCCTTCTCAGGGGGAAAGTAGCGGCCGTAAGACTGGGAATTAAGTGGGCAAAACCAGACATTCAGCATTTTCCCCCAAATGATCCCCCAAAAGACAGCAGTAAAATCAAACAGCTCAACACTTTGTACATAACGCATTGTCTGATTTGTCCAAGGTCTATTTGTTCCTACAAATGCACATTATTAATACTAAAATATGAAGGCACAGATGACAAAACTGTAGCTACAATAACAAACAGGAACACAGCACGCATGTAAAGCAAGCTGCATCACCTGGCTAAGGCAATAAGAAAAGGCCTAGTAAAACTAGACTAGATTTACTAGTATTAAAACTAGCATTAAGACTTTCCCCGTTTAGCCTCATTTCTAAAAAAAGAACACTTTTCTTCTGAAGTGCATCAACTAAAAACTCAGAGTAACAAGACAAGGGTGACTTGAGATTTACAATTTTTCACACTGTGTAATTTTTAAATTACCATTTTGGCAACACTGGAACTGTTTCATCCATAACAGAAAAACATCAGCTACTGACTCATAACCACATAGTTATTTCTCCACCATTTCTCAAGCAGATCAGCTCTTGGGCTGGTTTGCATCATCGTTCCCTGGACTTAGGAGTGCACGCACTTCCTACATGTTTCTTTCTTTCACTGCTGCCCTTGCTGGAAATGCAGAGACATGACCCTCCCCATTTCTCATTCTTCCGGCCACTTGTCCTCTTCCTTTTTATTATTCCCTTCAGAGTTTCACTATGCTCTGAAGAATCCACATTCCTTTCCCAGAGCAATCACTAATTCATCGCTGAAACACCTCTTGATTCCTTGACTAAGAGCGAATCCCACTTCATTCATTTCACATTTCAGCCATTAATGACTGAGAAAGTATTGTTTTCAGTGAAGCACCAGTGGGAGGAAAAGGGGTTAATAAAGGGGAACGAGAGGTCAAGAAGCAGAAGCAAAAGTTACTATTTTTGAAGGTAGCACTTGAGACCAGCAGTTCTAGGTCCTCTCTCAACCCTGCTCCAATTTTCACTACCCAGAGTGTGATTTCATTAGATGAGGTGAGGCACCATTTCCACTCCTCCTCTTCTACTTGTCAGCCCTGACAACCCGTCAACCTCCGCAAAAGTCAATTCAACGCGCTAAACCAGCAGAAAGTTAACAGAAAGAGCAAAACCAGCCTTAAGCCAGCTCTGCAGAGAATCATAAGCAAAGCCAGAACAGGCGTTAAGAAAAGAGAGGGCACCAACACCACCAAGGTTGGGAGCAAAGCAGGAAAGAGCAGAAAACAGGGAGTACGAGATGTGCCGCATTTACTGACAGCCTGTTCAATCAGCCGATTGGCATGTGAAACTTTCCCCTACAGGGATCTATGAAACCTACTGCTGCTTTCCATCAGTTAGATGAACTACAGTTAGCAAGAGGATATTCTTTGTGTAGCTACATCTACTTGCAGAGACCGAGTAGCAACATGCAGTGAGTCCAATACATCTTTTTTGGCTCCCACAAATACTAACTGACACTGTGGTTAAAAATGTCAAGATAAACAGGGTGTTGTTACCCAGCTGGCCCCCAGCAGCGTAGAGCAGCCAGCACCATCCATGGTGGGATGTGACAAAGCACTGACTCAACACATGCCCTTGGGCAAACCATGGTCGGGGTGGCCGACCCTGACTGCAGAAACTTTGTTAGCACTGCGGTTGCATAAGCAGCAAAAGGTTATTTAGTTTTCAGACCTGCTGAAATTTAAGGTGGGAGTTCTGCCAATCACAATTTTCACCTTGCAGCTGAGAGGACTTCAGATGAAGCCCTCTGCTCTTTGCCCAGGGACCCCTACCACTCTCGCTGGTAGCTTTCCAAATGCACAGCCACGTAGTTGGAGAAGTAGGTGCTACACTGACTAGACTGGAGCCTTGCAAAAAAACCAGAGTATGCCATAATGTAGAAATATGCAGACGCGAGTTTTCTTAAACGCATCTACCCCCCGCCCTGCAAAACTCATGGGTTTAATTACAACCTTGCCTCCTTTATTTATATTTAAATAAGAAAAAGACTTCTATTTAGTAAATCTGAAGTGCATTCTGCAGCTTGCAGGGTGTTTTCAGGCTTATCAGAGCAAACTCTGTTTAGTTTCAGTCCCACTACTTGGTATTCAACAATCTACCTCTCACTCAAATGAGCAGAATATAATGTCATTAACCAGACAATTACCTCTACGTAATAGTCACAAAAGAACTTTAACCCCCGATTCCAGCTTTATCGAACAGGAATGTTTATCAGTAACTTGTTTGTAAAGCAACATTATTCACACTATCTTTTACAAATTTTATATTGCTTTTTAAAGCTTTTAAGCAGCGTTTCAGGTCAACAGGGCACCTCCAATGCACTCCTTTCACACGAAAGGAGTTTTGCACAGCTTTTACTTTAATTTAATGCTCAGTAAGTGATTAATGTTACTAGATGCAGCCACAGAATAAATTTTACTAATTAAGGTGAAATGCTGCTTTTCATTTGAGACTTCCCCACGATGGCTAGAGAAGCCCCATTTTATTAGTGCGAAAAGGGAGAAAGCAATTAAGGCTTAACATTTCTGAGGGTCAAACGGCCACTGGCATCAGAATGAAGACGACTGAAATTTGACTCGGTTCCCTCTCACACTAGCCAGGGCTAACTATAACTCTGCAACGCTAAACTCCGTGAGTTAAGCAGGACTTCGTTAAGTGAGCCTCTGCAGGATGCTTCCGTGCCGCAAAACCTGCATCGCAAGCATCTGCGGTGATTTTTCGCCAATCTGAAAGCTCCTTTTATAGAAAAAACTGGCAGAATTTCTTGTTGGCTAATCTTTATTTGGCTATGGTGAAACTACAGGACACACAGGTGCTTCCCAGCTTCCCGATCTTTACATCAGCTCTGTCCCAATAATATGTTTAACTGGACTTTGGTTTCCATGAAAAGATTAAAGACCTAAATCCTTAAATAAGGAGAACAGCTACCCTGGGGTTGGGGTGTAGTCCACTGACTACAGAGGAAGTCCCTGAGCAGCTTTTACTCTTAGCAGTGCTAATTAGCAGTTTGCAGTATTTTAAAAACCGCTTTTGTCTTTGTTCTCTATTGCTTTATGTTTTAATTCTTTATAACAATTTCCTAATTGATTTTCAGGTTTTAGTTATTTGCCCACAATGAATTTTAATGCAGCGTTTATCACCATCTATGCGTATATCTCAATGCCAAGCTCCCTTGGGGCTTTTGTTTTTTTAGGGTTTGTTTTTTTTTTTAATAATCAACACCACCTCAAATTATTGAATCAGTCAATACAATACATAACGTTAAGAAATGTTCTTCACAATATGCTAAAAAGGTGGCTGTGATTTTGCAAGGCAAAACAAAGCTGATTTAGAATTAACAGCTTTGGAATGGAAATGCAAGGACTAGATCAGCGCGAACTATTTCTACTCCTCTTTCCCATGACAAAATGGTACGCCCAGATAATTGACAGTAAGATTAAGGACCATGTTTTCATTTCAAACATATGCGTTGTGCCATATAAATTATGATCCTATTAGGGCTTGATCTTGCAAAATCTATAATAAAAAACATTAACAACTGCAGTGTTAACGGTTTAATTCACATAAGAATACTGTCAGATTTGCTTTTAAGTCCTTAGAGCAAATGTATGTTTAATACAAGTCCTATTCCTAACTTACTGATCTCCAGCATTTAAAATCAAGTAATCCAACTTTGTGAGGATCACCTTTTATCTAAATGTGTAGTATGCAGAGGGGAAAAAAAAGCAGAAAAGAAGCAATGACTGTTAATGAGTTCTGGTCATTTGAGAGCGATATTTTCATGGGTTTTTCCTCCTCACACAAGAGGCTTAGAAAGTCATAAACTATGGAGGAAGTGACCAGCACATACTGATACACACACAAATCATGAAAACTCTGATTATTTGAAGTCCTTGACACAAAGCACTTGAGCAGCTG